TATTTGACCTAGAAGGAGAGTGATGGAGTGCTGCGCCAAATGGCCTGGCCTCCACAGTTTGGGATGAGATGGACCACAGAGTGAAGGCAAAAGGTCAGACAAGTGCTCAGCATCTCTGAGAACTCCTTCGCGATTTCTTCAGGTGACTACCTCATGAAGCTCATCGAGAGAATGCTAAGTACATGTGCAAATAGGTAAGCAAATGGTGGCTATTTTAAAAAATCTAAAACGTGTTTTGAGTTATTTTACACTTTTTACTTTACCACGTAATGTCATACGTATTCATTCAGTGAGAATCTACAATGTGCATCCAAACTTTTCACTGGTAGCGTACACACACACACACTCACAGTCTCCTCTTGCCCTGTGATTATTTGTCATGTAAACAGGAGGAGATCAAACCATTAACCTTCCAGTTGTTAGATGACATACTGCCTGAGCTACAGCCATCCCAGTGTACGCACTACAATAAAGAGACATAAAGATTTTAAAACATCAAGTACAGACAGTGGCTGCAGTGGATATTTTCCTTGTTTTTAATACTGGGTTTCATTTAAACACTTTTTTGTTTTCACGTTTACCTGGAGCTGGCTGATGGACCAGTAACAGCATGAGCATCCCCAGCCCACAGACACCACATATTGTTGAAACGACCCTATCTGACAGCAGACTATTAGCAGGTAGACCAACTGTCTATAACTGCCCACAGTGTTCCTTCCAGCTAACACCCCTGAACTAGAATTTAGTATAAGATGTCAGGAGATGTACACACCGAGAAACGGGACAAAATAGCTATTAAAAAGGAACGGCAATGGTTCGAGAGACCTGCTGTACCCATCACCAACCACTAGGTGTCGCCCTGATATAATTTTTTTCATAAGCCGTGGACTGCTGAAATGTTTCTGCTTTAAAGATAGAGACTTATTTCAGTAGTAACATTAAAATCACAATAATTTAAAAAAACAGTGAGAGCGTGTGTGTGTGTGTGTGTGTGTGTGTGTGTGTGTGTCACGCTGTAAATTAAGAATTCCTCCTGGCATTACTGCTAAATGTTTCCCCCAACAAATTTCAGTAAAAATGTCATTCTCCTTTGTTTCTAACTGCTACAGTGTTTTTAGATCGTTTGCCATGAAATTAAAGGTAAATTATAATTTTAAAAAGACAGCTCCCTGAGGTTTCCTATACACGTGATTTTATTATTATTACTATTGGTGTTGTGGTTGTTAATAACAATAATAATAAGAACAATAATAACAGCCGAACATCGTACTTTTTTAGTGTCCTGAGGTCTGACCGCCTGCTCCACTGTCCCGCTGTACAGGTTCAGAGACACCGGTGGGTGATCCGTGATACTTCCTTAGCGGATTATATAAAAACGGGTTTTCGCTTTTTGTAGTTTTAATGTTTCTTTTGATTTTCTTTTGTTTGAATAGCAGCTCTAAGTCGATTATTGTGAAGCTAAAATCATGTACAAGTATATGTTTAATCAGGTGCAGCACAGATATCATTATTACCAGTTTATCAAATTAAACGCATTTCTTTTTTAGTCGATTTAAAAAAAAATAGAACTCAAAAATGAAAACACAGAAGTTCGGATTTTTTTTCTTTCTTTTTAGCCAAACTGTATTTTTGTTACAGTTAGCAGATTATGTCATAGCTACGTCAACGAATAAAATCTAAACATGCTTCTGTTCTTTTTGTGTTCATATAAATTCATTCGTTTTCATGTCCGTTCAACTGCGGGGGTTCTTGCGTTATTGCGTTTTCTGAGCCTGTCTCTTTCTGCAGTGTCACAATCATATTACTAAACCTTAAACTAGAGGATAAGGGAATTATTAGGAATCACAGGTCTGTGAGGAAAACAAGCAGCTCTAAATCATAACGCTTACTGGCTGACGGAGATGAAAGCCAGAGATAAAGCAAATGATCGCAGCAGTAATGGAACTGTGAATGTTCAATGTAAAACATTTTCAATAATCAATATATAAAAATACGACTCATCATAGGTTGTAAGGCTTGTTATAACAACCAAAACTATTATAATGATTATGAATTGCAAAATGATTCATAAACATTTTATAGTCGACGACATAGAGCCGAGTGAAGCGCTGTATTAGTTATTATCGGTATATTTAATGACACGACTGCTATGAAGTTTACTCCTTATTCTACTAAAGGAACGAAGAAAAGGCAATAAGTAGTCAAGTTAAAGGAGACATAGGGTCTGGTTTATAATCACACTATCAGTGTTTTTCTGTTGATAAAACCACAGCCTATATTGGAGAATTGCTGCAGGAAGACTAAAGCCAATTAGGGCATCTTAGAATGTAAAACATTACATATCATTATTGTTATTATTAGTATTATTATTATTTCGTGTAAGACATATAATCAGGCTTCATTTAATATGAATTATACCAATTAAGTTGTCCCTTCACACAACCTCTCAGTATTCCGCTGCACAGCAGCTTTTCTATTAACATCTTGGCAGGCGGCGTGCCTGTCTATTATGCGCATTTCTGGTATTCTATCGGCCCACTTTGCGCACACTTTGATGAAGTGTTTGGCAAGGCGACGTTGACGGAGACTTTGAACGGCTTTTCTCTTGCAGCCAGGTGATGAACGTCCGGCTCATCAGGCGGAATAAAAAATAATTAAAACCTATAAATTATCCCTCGGCAGCTCCTCTCTCTCAGAAAGAGATAAGAGCGCGCTATTTCAGCGAAAACAACACGCGCTAACAATGGCCAGAAAGAAGGGGAAACAGCAGGTATGTGTGTGTGTTTTGATAGGTGGTGGTATCTAACCTGCAGCTGTGCGCAGTTAGATACCACCATTCAGAGCGAACGGGCGCATATGAAGATGTAGAAGGCGTGCGCTTTGGTTTGGATAAAACATGCTTGTAAGTGGGGAAGCAAACCCCCAAATGTCATCCTATCTATTTACGCTACGGCCCAATTAAAAGCATTTTTGTGTGCAGTCGTGGCTCACAGTTTAACTGGGTCTGAGGCCCGCCTGTGTCTGTACAGTTCAAAGTAAAGTAGAGGTGCGCAGTTGAATTTCATACAAAAAAACCAGCAGTAAACAGCCATTCTTCCGTTCATCAGCTGTATAGATGTAACAGTACACCGTAACGAGACTGAAGGCGAGGAGCAGCGATAATCTCTTGTTTGGTTTCTCTGTGAAGCCTGCTCCCTGCGCCACAGCTCTCCACTTGGCTCAGAGACTCATGACATTATTGGACGTCGTCACACTCTGTTCCAAAGTGTCCCGGTCGGTGATTGGCCCGATACGTTTCATGCGCCTCTAGTTTTGTGTGTGTGTGTGTGTGTGTGTGTGTGTGTGTGTGTGTGTGTGTGTGTGTGTGTGTGTGTGTGTGTGTGTGTGTGGACTTTGTGAAGAGTGTCACACAGCGGTGAAAAGCTCTGGGTGTGTGGGAGTAGTGTGCAACAGCGACCACAGTCAGTCTTATAGTAAATCAACGACCATGACCCTCTGGAGCGCCTTTGCGCAGGGAGGATGCCCACAGTTTCCGAATAATGACAACAACCAGCACCATTCCGGTGAGAAAATAACTATGTTTTAGTGCTTCCCGTAGTCATAATTTGGATACAAAATAAACTCACGCAGTGGAAGTGGATTAAGAGAACAGAAACCAGGTTCTTCAGAGAAGCACCGATGGAGGAGCAGCGGGATCTTAACAGCTCGGATAGCAGCGAGGGGGAGAGCGTTTCCCCGTCTCCCAGCCTGCCCTCCCCGCCTATATTGCCTCTACAGGTCGCCCAACAGGCCCACAGAACCACCAACTTTTTCATCGACAACATTTTGAGACCGGACTTTGGCTGCAAGAAGGAGCACGGCCTTGGCCTGCGGGAGAGGGCGCAGACATCCGGTCGGGAGCGCGTCCACCCGGCGATCAGCAGGCCGAGCCTTCCAGGGACGCCGTGCCAGGACTCCAACTGCAGTACTGACAGTAGTTCGTCCTCTGCCTCCTCCGCTTCTTTGGCAAGTCCCAAAAAAAGCAACGTTAGCGGCGGAGGAGCCGCAGCCGCTCCCTCTACCGGTAACGGCCATGGCGTAAAAGCAGAGGGGAGAACTGGCACTGGGACCGGGGAAAATACCTCGTCTTCGCTGGTGGTGCTGAACGGCACCGCGGCGCCCACACCGGAGACGCAGCCACTGCTCTGGCCTGCCTGGGTTTACTGCACCCGATACTCGGACAGGCCCTCATCTGGTAAGGCAGTAGATTCGTGAAGAAATGCAACTGTGACCGTGCATAACTGAGGATTACTTCCACCCTAAACTCACTTAATATTTTATTCATCAAGACTTTTTTTAAACGTTAATATTCAACAGTTTCCATGCAACAAACGAAGAACAATTTTTCTAATAAAGTAAAGCACGAAATAAAGTTTTAGAGCATTTTCAGACCTTCGTTTAAATGTTCTCAAAAAATGAAGCTGCACTGACTCGACTCAAGTCTAATATCAAACCAAATCGTTTATTGGTTAGCAATACACTACTGGATATATGTTATGATAATGTTTGCGTTGCCGCTTTGATTTATTTTTAAATCGTCTCAGGATTTCATGCCGCTCGACGCAGCACCACAATAATAAAAAAAACTCGATAAAGACAGAAAACAGTTTAAAATGCTGGTTCATGTATTTATTTATTTCGGTTCAAAAATAATATATATTTTACATTTATATATTTTGGGATGAAAATATAAAATTGTTCACTACACATCTGTAACACTTTGGTGTGTTTGACGTGGAGGTTTTCTGTGAATTTCTGTTTGTTTAAAGTTTCACTTGCAAAATGAAAAAATGATTAAATAAATAATCCTAAAAGCTATTTTAATTTAAATTCACGCGCATCAAAAAGCACAACCAGTGCTCGTGCGGCCTGTAAAAACTTCTCCCCGTTTTAGTCATAATCGGTCTTGTTAGATTTCCATAAGCAGTCGCTCAGCGTTGATCCTGGAGGATTAGAATTGTGTAGCTGACAACGGAACATATTTGACACTTTGGCTGATTCCAGGAGATATTGTCTTCCCACAAAAACCGGTGATGGCGTGTAATAGCTCCTGTGACCCGGTGTGTGAGCTGCCATCAGTAAGGTGGAATAAAACACAAAGGAACTGAAGGTAAATAAAGTCTTACAGCCTCGCGAGCCTGTTCGTCTTTACAGAGGACATTTTGAATTTATTAAGCGCGTGCTTAAATTTTTGCTAAAGAAACTATGCAGATGTAAATAGCTAGAAGACACGTGCACGTTCATTAATATATATTTGTGTGTGTGTGTGTGTGTGTGTGTGTGTGTGTGTGTGTGTGTGTGTGTGAGCCATATTATTTGTGACGTGGACTTCAGTATTTCAAAGCCAAACAAGTAAAGACATTTATTAATATTTTAAAAAGTCAATCGTACACCAGTCACTACACCAGAGGATTGTTCGAACCATAGTTTTTGTGCGGCATCTTGTTAATGAATTTAACTTTGTTCAGTGTGAACTGAAGCTTTCTGCTCCAACTGGCATTATTTGTTTTTGTCGTTTAAAAAGAAAAAGAGAAAAAGCAGTAAACGCGTGCTGTTCTATGCACACCATGATCTGGGCGGCCGAATATTCTAAAACATTAAAAAAAAAAGGAAATCTTATTGTCGAATATTTAGATGACAGATTATTGTGTGAAAAACACCTAAACGTACGTGTGTTCGCAATGATGTCAGAAAGGGGCTCAGGCTGCTGTAGTCATCCGTGTAGGCAGTAATCAGGAGTGTAAACGCGCTGATACTCTGAAGACACCACCACACAGACACGTGCCGCATAACGTTATTCTGTAAATTAATTATAGTAATAATAATAATAATAATAATAATAATAATAATAATAATAATAATAATAATAATAACTATTATTAGTAGTAGTAGTATCTGTCATGTATCCATAGCTTGCAGGCTGGATTACTTAGAACTCCAGCTTTGTTAGCGCGCTGTTGTTTTGCGCACGCTGCATATTTATGTTTCCGCTCTCTTCTTTCGCCCCTACTGCAGGCCCAAGGACACGGAAACTGAAAAAGTCAAAAAGCGGCAAAGAGGACAAACGGCCACGCACGGCCTTCACGGCCGAGCAGCTGCAGAGACTGAAGACAGAGTTCCAAGTGAATCGCTACATCACGGAGCAGCGGCGCCAGTCTCTGGCCCAGGAGCTCAACCTCAACGAGTCCCAGATCAAAATATGGTTTCAGAACAAAAGGGCCAAGATCAAAAAGGCCAGTGGCTTCAAGAACGGGCTGGCCCTTCAGCTGATGGCGCAGGGACTTTACAACCATTCCACCACCACCATCCAGGAGGACAAGGAGGACAGCGACTGATGAACACGACTTCCTGCTTACACTCACGCTGTACATTGTAAATAATAATATCTAATTTAACGTGGAGGATGGGGGACCGAGCTAGTGTCCTCTTCCTCGTCTCCTCCTCTTCAGAAGTGACTCTAGAGCAGAAGATTCGAGCAGACTGACCTGCCACCGCCAAACCAAAGATTTTATTGAGAAATAGACACTTTCAGAAACGTTAATAAGCAGCAGCACCCTTGATGTTAGACTGAAGTGTACCCTCACCCATCCATTCCTCCTCACAGCCATAACAGGCGCACACCAGCTGATGTTCTGGGGCATTTTTACTTTACTAATGGTAGTTGCTTTCGTTCTGGAACGCGCTGCTGACCACTTCCAACAGCCATAAGAGTACTTTACTAATCCTGCGGTCAGTTTGAATAAGGTTCAACACACAGTTTGAGTACCAAATGTGAACAACGTGGTTCTGTCAGTTCAAAAGACACAAGAAATCCCTTTGAATTTGTTAGGATCGTCTCATGCAATCTGTTACAGTGAAAACACATGTGGGATCTGATCTAAATAGAGGATTCTGTATGATGCCCTTTGAGAAACCACACGGAAAATATAAAAACAGTATTATAAATAATAAGTTAAAATTGTAATTGCTGAGAGAAAGCCTCGATAAAAGCCCATCGTTAATATTTTGTGAATATTTTATTGGTACAGCAGCACATAAAACGTGTTGTGGTCCTTTTCACTTTCAGACACACACGCTAAAACTGAAACAACAACGCCTTCACACAAACACAACATCTGCAGCTTTGCCACACTCTCTGTTTTTGTGCCACTTCTTTTATCTAATCGGCCGATCAATAAAAAGAAATAAACAAACGAACAAAGAAATTTAAAATCAAATCAAATGAACGTGTGAGCTGTACTGCATTTTCATAACGTCACCGTGTGTGTGTGTGCACCTGCAGCGGTTTCTTAGTCGAAATTGTGTAATTGTGTTTTCTGAGCTTAATGTCTCTTAAACGGACCCAAGGATTACTACAGCGCTTCTGTGCGTCATTTCCTCTGGTGCAAAGCGGCCTGAGACACTCGGCAAACAGCATCGCACTATTTGAAATACATCTTGAAATACATTATGTACAATTTCAAATAAACACTTTTATATTGGAACTGACCCAGTTGTGTGTGTGTGTGTGTAACTGAATATTCAATTAATAAAATAAAATGGAGGTGAGGCTGTCTGCGGAGAAGCTGGGGGTAAGGGGACGTCGCAGCTCATTGGTTCAAGTGAGTGGGGACAACTGAATCCATATTCATAGGTCTTTGGAAAGGAGGTGAATTTACACTGCAAGACGCATCGCTATCACGCCGTTCAAAGCGTTACAGAGCATGAAATTGCCTCTCCGTCTTTCTGTGATCACCCATTTCATCAGCCGGCTCTCTGCACAGCCTTAAACAAAAATACCAAGGTGCTGAAGGTAAACGCAGTGTGAGTCCGCCTGTGTGTGTGTCTCCGAGAGACAACCAGCAAATCGACAGGTCAAGGCACGGCCTACAAGCAACACTAAAATAACACAGAAAGGCACAAATCAAGCAGGTGAGAGAGGGAGGGCGTATCTGATTTTTTTTCATGCAAATGGTTAAAAATTATAAAAGAAAATGAATATTTCAATTCATATTCCCTACATTTAATTAGTTGGTGCGTTTCTTTATCATTTGAGCAGCCTGATCGGGTTTTACTAAATGCAATCCATGTAAAACCAAAAACACTCGAATAATCTTTGGTTTGGTTTGTTTTTAGATAAATTCTTTCTTGTATTATTTTTGGAGTATATTTAAAAATCACGAAATAAAGAAACTGTAAAGTTTTCTCGTTTTTATACAAGCTACATTTACAGACTATCGCTCCAGATGATTTCTTTCACAAGATAAAAAGTGTGTTTGTTTAAAATAAATAAATGTAACCTTCGGCCGGCATAATCTCTTTCTTCACTCCCCATCCAGCTATTGTTTTCATCCAAAGAAATGTGTTCTTATCGCCATTCTATCAGCTAAGTAGAACAGATAAATGACCTCCGGTTAATCTGACAAGTAAAATGAACCATAATCCCTTTTTGTTTGGAGGAAAGGGGGCTTTGTTAGACCTTAGAGAAATATATAAACATAAACACCTTAGATCTGCGTTATCAGCTACTGATAGAAGTCCACTGTGTAATTAGTTTGGACTAAATTAAACAGAATGAGTATCTTGGAGAGGAAACCAGTTATTTCCTGTAGCCTGGAGGTCATCTGTCATCTGGAGCTTCATAGTTAACCTATGGTTGCCTCTTGCAGAGCCTGTCCAATGAAAGCACTCCTTACTCCTTATAAAAGAAAAAAAAGAAAGAAAGCAGAGGGTAACAGCAGGCTGAGATCAATTTGTCAAAATCAAACGTAGATGTTGTGACAAGTTGTATGGCCCTCTGCCTGTACCTGTTTTCTTCCACTCTTCTGCTGTTGCTGCTGCCAGCCTCAGAGGAAGAGGAGGGGATTTGTTATGATTCTTATACAGGCCTTTGGAATATCTATACCTATATGTGTGTGTGTGTGTGTGTGTGTGTGTGTGTGTGTGTGTGTGTGTGTGTGTGTGTGTGTGTGTGTGTGTGTGTGTGTGTGTGAGGGAGACTGGTAAAGATGCAGAGTGACTGAAGAGTGCAACCAAACAGCTGGTCCTGCGGCTACAGGAACAGCTTTCATTTACATGCAAATGAAGGTAATAAAGAAAGACTCCCTGCTGATATAGAACTTTATGAATGTATATTATTAGTACTGTTGTTGTTACTATCATCATCATCATCATCATCATCATCATCATTATTATTATTATTATTATTATTGTTGTTGTTAATAATAATAATAATAATAATAATAATAATAATAATAACTTTTCTTGAATAGAACAGTAGGAATCTTTGATAATCTGCTCTGTGAGCAGCAAAAAAAATTGAAAGTCCTCATTTCTTAGAACAAAAAGTGCACACAGCAAACCCAAAACTTCCAAAAAATGGAAAATTCCAAATCAGCAGATTGATGTAAACACCTGCTATGATCCCGTGGTAATTAAAGAACTTAATTACATTTCAAGTCATAAAATGATCAAATTTAAAACCTTCTTAGTAAACAAAAAACTTTCTTGAGGAAGTGACTGAAGAAAAGAAAAGGTGTTAACAAGTGATACATGAACACACGTGGATTACCATGGTGTCTAATTTATTTGAATTTACAGGAATGCAATTCATGGCCAACATTTTTTGTGCTGAAATTCAAAATCTTCACATTAAAATTTGGGGAAAAACCCCCCACATGGTTATACCAACACACATGCAAAGGCTTTATGTATGTGTGTCAACACAAACATACACAGTGGTGTGCAGACTTGAACTCTGCATGTCTCTCTCTGTCTACAGTCTGTCAACAAGTGAACTGTGAGAGCCAGCAAAACAGTTGTGGCACAAATGGCCACGGTTGTTTTATCATGGGTGAGTAACAAAAGTGGCATTGAGTTGTACAGGCCTCCCACACTGTTACTGAACACTCTGTGTGTGCGTGTGTGTGTGTGTGTGTGTGTGTGTGCGTGCTAAGATCCATAACTCATACATGGATTAACTGTTGGATGTTAGATGTATGTGTGCATGTGTGTGCCCATCTGCTAGGAAGAATTTGTTCGATAAGGATTACTCAGTCATTAAATGTCACATGTTGACTGCTCACCTCTGATACTCGAGATTGTTTCACACAGACAGGGGCGAGTGAAATGTTGGGTTATATTCTGTGATAAGATAGAACATTTACCAGCAATAAGCCGATATATTCAACAACGAAGGACTAGAACAGATAATCTGTAAACCAACACAACAATATCTAAATTTATTTATGTTATGATTATTATTTAGGAAGGTTACAGTTAATTTTGCACATTGTGTTTAAATAAACAACCAAACACCTAAACACACTTTCTTAAAATGGCAAAACACAGAGTACAAGAAGAAAGCTGTGTGTGCCCCCCTTCACTGTGCAGTGTTATTTTAAACGGCCTATGGCAAAAAGCAACTCAGTAAATGATTTGGTAACAGGAACAGAAAACAATGATATAAAGTTATTAGAAACAAACTGATAAACAATGAGATATGATGAAAGATGCTTTTCTTATATTTCACACAATTCCTCTGTGTACTCTGGTGTATTCTGGCCATCTGGAAATTAATGAAGCTGGAATGAAAAGGTGTCTTTGTTGCATACATGGACACAAACTGTACTTTGTCAGTAAGAATTTGAATCCAGTAGAACTGAAATCCACATATTTACTTCCCACAGATCCGTGACAGGCCTTAGACTTAACCAGAAATGGTGGTTTGTTACAGTGGCATGTTTGTTAACCAGCTCATCATCTTTCTCTAAACATGGTGTTGATGCTTAACACTAACCAAAGAGCAAAGACAACAAAACCAAAAGAAAGACGTTTAAACATGTTGTCATCGTGTAACTGAATTATCAGCACAACTTCACTTGTGTCTTTTGTATGATTGTGCTGTGTTTCTTTGTGTGTGTGTTAGGGCTGGACTCTCATCACACCTGTTAAGTTTGGTAGAGACTGAGTATTGTGTCTTTGAGTTACAACAGTTTTGTGCTTCACGGTGATTGATCAAAACTCGGAGTGTTGCTATGCCATTTAGTTTTCATGAAAACTCTTTAAGATTCATTAAGTGAAGATCGTGTTGAGCTCATGAAATCCCTCAGTGTTTGTTAAGGTATGAGGCCTGAAATTAGCAGAAAATGTGGCCAAAATTACACATTAAATTCAAAATGGCAGACTTCCTGTTGGGTTGAGGATGAGACTTTTATTGTATATCTTGATATCTGACATTAGGATGCCAAGTTTCAAAAGCATTGATAAAAAAGTGCAGGGACTCCTTTATAATTTCATAGGTGGCATTGTGGAGCCATTTTGCAATATTCAATGAAAAGGGCTAGAAAACAGGAAAGCCTTCATCACATTTGAGAGTCTGCCAGGTTTGACGACTTCTCAAGCTTTCCAAGCTCTGTGAAAACTACTTCCTGTTGATGGCGAATCGCTATTCTACATGGGTGCGCCGTTAAATGAAAGCTCACATTTTCACACTGAAGCATCATCAATTTCTGATGTTTA